ATACTATATGATTTTTTACATAGGCCTGTGTACGTTAACTGGGCCAGTTAATTTTGGCCTGACATTGAAATGTGTACATTGTTCTTAGAACATCATTAGCCAAAAACAAAAATGAATGAATGTCCTTGGTGTGAGAAATGGGAGAAGGTTGAGCAACCACTTACAAAGTAAATGTCTTAAGAAAAAAGTAGACTTTAGTTTAAATCTCCAAGACCCTCATGTTCCCAATCCTTATTTTTATATCACATTATTACAAGTGAATCATGTAGGAATTTTAAGTCATAGCCATTATTCTGGCAGTAGTTTGAAATTATGGATTATGGACAGCGAATGACAATCTTCACCTGCCACATTAAGGCTGAACCTTCAAAAGAGCTAACCTCCATTCTGATTTGGGCTCTGGGATCAGCTGAATACTAAGCCAGTGTTAAAAACTACCTCAGTCTCCCCACAAGGTCTTTGGACCCTATGATATTTGTAAAGAAGAGCTGAACAAGTTCCCTGCAGTTAAGTAGACCGGATGTCTATACTGTGATCCCTTGTGCAGCTCTGAGAATGGAATTTTGCCTTGAGCTTTATAAAGGAAAAGAAAACTTCAAACAGAGTTAATAATTTGCAGAGTATAGTAGCTGAAAAAAATTGGGAGGTGGAGGGATACCTTTCAATTTCTTTATTCGACCGATAGTCAGAATTAAAACATTACACAATAATTGTAAGCTATAACATCATAAGTTACATAAGGTACATAAGTAAGGTAGAGCCACAGTACTAGATCTCTCACAGATAACCCACGTCAAGGCATTCAATTATACGTTTCCGACACTTGAGTGCCAGGAAAAGAAATTTAGCCACTGACAAGGTTGTTGGTGGAGGGATACCCTTTCCTTTCTTGTTGAATTTCAGGTAACAAATGGTCAGACTTCAAAGGGAGACCTCAGTATTGTGTTCTCCATATTTCTGTATAGCGCTTTCCAAGAAGAGAAGTTTCGAAACTTTTATTTTGATTTAAACAATTTAGGGCTGGAAATATGTGGCTATCCTATGTGGCTATCTCAAGATTATGTTCCATTCCAATTCTCTGTTTAGTGATGTCAGGGATGGGAATCACCAATCCATGAGCCAAACTAGCTAGGGGCCAGCTACTAGCTGAAGATAATGAAGATACTTGCAGATGTGGGTGATGTAATTGGTAGGCAGTGCCGGGGGGCAGGGCGGGGATTCCATTGTTCTCCTGGCTTACCAACACTGCAGGTCACAACCACTTACCAAGAGGGAGCAGGGTGAGGCATAGGGAGCTTGGTGCTATGCAGCGCATGGCAGCAGAGCCAAGCCTGTTCTCCAGCCACCACATGCTACATCGTTCCATGTTCCCTGTGCCTTGCCCCTCTCCTCCTTCTCTCAGGAACTGGCAGCAACTGGGAGAGCAATGGAGTCCCACCCACACGGCCGCCCCATTGCTCATGTTAGTAAGGATGGGGGGAGAAATTCAATTTTGTTTGCATTTTACTGAAAAACTACCTAATTTGCACTTCTCAAATTAATACACAAACCAAAATAGCCATCTTTTGAAATTGACATTTGTCAGAATGTTGCACTACAGTTCTGCAACTAATCAAGGTTTACAAAAATGAAGAATAATAGGGGAGAAATGTGTTTAAAAACGTTACCCACAAAGAACATAAAAAATCCACTATAGGCTAATTGCTTGTAAAAATGTGTACTTTAGTCAAAGCTGCATTAAAAAAATGTGCTTATTAAAATAAATTCACACTAAAATGCTGACAGATTTAAAAACAGTTCTGCAAATTGTTGAAAAGTGTGCAGGATTAAATTTAAGATTGGAAAAATGAATAAAAGCAGACAACCATAACTCACAGATTCTTTCTTCCCTAGTCATTGGTAAATGTAAAAGAGAACAATTGACCAGGGGCAAGTCTCCACTGGAGCTCAGAAGATCCACATTACAGCCATATGGTTGTTAAAGCTTCTGGGAATTGAAGCTGTGTGAGGGGTAAACTATGGATCTCGGTATTCTTTAGGGGAAGCCATGTGTTTTAAATTTATGGTATGGCTGTAATCCCAGAGACCAGATTTGCTCCCTGAGCTGGGTCCAAAGCTATGACTTTGGGGGGCTCCGTAGAAATCTTAAGATTTCTTGCAAGATTTGTTGGAGTGTTAATGCTGTGTTCCCTTCCATTTTAGGCTTAGGGCTGTATACATGTGTAAATAAAACCATATTCTACAAAGATACTGCCATCTCAGTTACCAAGGAAACAAAGCCCAAAATATATGCAGACACCCCTGAAATCTCTCAGCACTTGGAGGGTGGAGTGCATATAACAATATGGAAAGAGACCCTGAGGTGCACCGCTGGGCAATTCTGAGCTAAATGAACCAGTGAGTGACTCAGTATAAGACTCAGTATAAAATCTATTTTAGGAGAGTTGTTTTAGATGATAGAAAGGTCTAAGATATCAATGTCATATTTGTTCGAAAGGGCCATATGTGCCAGACAAACATTCTAGGCCCTGCTCTGTCAAGGTTTTGGCTTCAACATTAGTACACTAATCTGATAATAGCTGTACACTCCTGAAATTTTTGAAAATCCATGGTCTGTTTCCTGTTCCTACTTATGTATAGGAAGATGTGTGGTGTTGAAAATTAAAATACAGCATTTCCTTCCTTCCTTCCAACTACAAGCTGTAGAGCTGTAAAATCTATCTACTCGAACAGTAAGCTTGGTTATATTTTTAACAGGTATCCCAAAAGCACACTAAATCAATCTTCTTGACAATGATAATGCCCTCATAAATCAATGTCAGGTGAGGAAAAAAATCTTTTGAGAACTCAAAAAGTTAAGCTGATGCCAAAAATATATAAGCTTTTTTTTTGTTTGTTTATATGAAGTGTAAGGCAGCACAATTCTTGGCAGCCACTCTAGTTGCCCATGGCATGAAGATAATCCCCAAGATTAAACATCCCAATGAGCGCTGAGCTTGCTTAAGTAAAGGTAAAGGGACCCCTGACCATTAGGTCCAGTCGCGGACGACTCTGGGGTTGCTCTGCTCATCTCGCTTTACTGGCCGAGGGAGCCGGCGTTTGTCCACAGACAGTTTCTCTGGGCCATGAGGCCAGCATAATTGAGCCACTTCTGGCGAAACCAGAACAGCGCATGGAAACGCCGTTTACCTTTCCGCCGGAATGGCACCTATTCATCTATTTGCAATTTTGGGCGTGATTTCGAACTGCTAGGTTGGCAGGAGCAGGGACCGAGCAACGGGTGCTCACCCCGTTGTGGGAATTCGAACCGCCGACCTTCTGATTGGCAAGTCCTAGGCTCTGTGGTTTAGACCACAGCACCACTTATTAAATCCCATGGCAGTCATCCCATCAGCACAAACATTTCACCTTGCCAGATGGAACTATCCACCCTCTTTCCACCGCATTACCGTTCTGGGTAAATATATGGACCTCCTAAGCAAATTTCAGGGGGATTGTATGAGAGGGGGGAAGCACAGCTACACTACTGGAAGTCCTTAGTAGAATCCTACCCTGTCTATTGACAGAGGGAAAGCTGAAAACCAAGTAGGATGGAATGGGATCCCTGAAAATGGAGGAGAGTGTAGGGGTCAACCAGTTATAAATACACTTGCTGTCTTGCTAGCTGTCACTTGCCCGTTTGGAAAGCTTCCTGCATTACAAGAACAGGAACTGCAGTCACGTCGGTGGCAGAGTATAGATTTTGCATGCAAAAGGTCCCAGAATTCAGTTTCCTGCATCTACTTGCATCAAAAAGCAGCTGACTCAGTCCTGGGAGAACTGGCAGTCACCATAAACCAGGGTTGGATCTATTGGCCAGATATGGTCCTCAGCTGGATTTCACCTGTCACTCTGTATCCCCTCCTGTCCAAAAGCTTTTCAGCTGAAAGCAGCTGTTGGGAGGGGAGAGATTGTGTGGAGCAAAAGTAAAATTCAGGAATAGAGTTAGTAACAATGAAATCTGTACCTCTGTTTCTATGGGAAATAGCTTTGGTATTTGGCATTAGTATTAAGGGTGTGCATGGTATTACGACGGCAAAGTGGTTTTCAGGCAAAAATGGCTCCCTTCTCCTGAAGAAGACAATACTGAGCTAGATGGATCAGTGATTCAGGCTCATGAAAGATAGCTTCCTGTATTTAAAGAGATCAGCCCCTCCTTAATATATGCATAATTTCTAATGTTTTATGAGATTATTCTATTTGCTTGGAAGAATACTGCAATATCCTAATACTTTTGTCTTTTCCTTGACTTCAAAAGAGAGACTTTAAGCTTAGTGTATCATTTACATTTGAAAGCATTTTTTGCAGCTTAGGAGGTTTAGTGGTCAAAATTGCCCTGTCAGATTCATGACTCAAGAACCTCCTAAAAAGACAACCTAAGTACCATTTTAAAGCCCTAGTTAATAGAGCACTTTTATCCATTCTGAAGCTGTGAAAAAAGCATTAGCTTATGTGATTTGACCTTGCGGTTCTTAATGGCAGTTATTCCACAGGGTCTCTGGTAAGTTTGTTAGATATGGAGACAACAGTGAGTTCCAAAGTCCTGTTGTACAGCAGATTAGATTACCATGGTCTGTCTAATAACGCACTTGACCGTGGAGGCTGCACTAAGTACCACACTGTCTGTGTGCTTAATTCCTAAGTATTAAAGATGTATCTTCATGGAACAACTAAGTTCCTATAAACATGTAACATTTTGGGTGTTAAGTGCTTTTTTTTCTTAAAAAATGTTTAGGGGTATTCTCATTTTCCTATTCATATTGAAATACTGCCCCTCAAATGAGACCAAACTTAGATTCACAAAATGTTTAGGGGTGTGCATCCCCCTGCGTCTTCCCAGAAAAAAAGCACTGGGTGTTAACCATCAAGTACCTATCTTCAGATCAGTCTGGATTCACTGCCTCATTTACAAAATAAATGGTTGTAGCCTTCCCTAGCCTGGTGCCCTCCAGCTGTATTAAGCTGGGATAGCTCAGTTGGTAGAACATGAGATTCTTAATCTCAGGTTTGTGGGTTCGAACCTCATGTTTGGCAAAGGATTCCTGCATTGCAGGGGGTTGGACTAGATGATCTTCATGGTCCTCCACACCTCTACAATTCTATGATTCTATGATTCTAATTTCTTAGCTGCCCTCCAGCATGAGGGCAGGTTGCAACAAGTTAAAAATACATTAAAATCAGTTAAAAGAAACTGCAGTCCAGGGAATGGACTACAGTGCCCATTGGCTGATGATGAAGGTTGTTGGAGGTAATAATCTGAACCATTTATATCTGGAGAGCACCCAGGTTGGGAAAGGCAAGTTGAATATTGCTATCACTATTGAGGAATATTGTGAGAAAGTCGTTAAGAAAGACATTGATTTAGGTCTTGTTTCTTGGTTCCACAAAAAGTGACAAATTCTGCTATGAAAGACTGGTGCTTGCAACCACATTGACCTCACAGATTAGGAAATGAAGACTCTCCGGAAATAAGTCATTTTGGCTAACCAGTTCAACCTGCATACTTAAATAAGGATAACAACTGTGTTTTATTTTGAAGATTTTTCTGTATACCCCAAGTATATCTATCCCCTCTTGTTTGGTGCTTCAGAGAAACGAGGCAAAAGTTACTGACTGGGTGGGGCTATTCAAAAGACCCGTTTGGCCTGGGCTAACACAACCGCAATAAAAATGGTTTCAAATATGTCTGTTTCCACTCTCATGGCACACTTAGTAACAGGGAAGTTTTACAAACTCTTTCTCAAGGGTGCCAACTTGAATAAAATATTGGGTGGGCAGGTAAGCCCCGCCCCACATAATCGATAACAAGGCACAGCACACAGACACCATTTGAATGGCAACACCCATCAACTTTGGGGGACGGCCCTGCCTCCTCAAATACTTTATTGCAGTTGGCTCCTATGCTCTTTCTGGAATAGAACTGAATGTATAAAAACAACCAGCAATTTACAAACCACAAGCATGGCTAAATCGTGAAAAACCTGTAAAGCTTTTTGAAACAATAAAAAAATTCTATTTCAGGACCAAAGGAATAATAATAAAAAACCAGTTTTGCTCTTACAGCTTGATCAGAGGTACCCAACATGGTACTCCAGAATTGTGGAGTACAACTTGAATCAGCCTCAGTCAGCATGGCCTATGGTCAGGGAGGATGGGAGCTGAGCTCCACAATGTCTGGAGAGCACATGTTGGTTGTTCCTGAGCTGTATTGATCTGCTCTCCTTTTTGTGTTCTTAATATCTTTTTTTAAAAAATGAACCCAAAGTTCTTTCCTCAGCCAAAGTAACAAATCACTCCCGAACAGAAGCTGAAGTGGGATTGTTTTATTTCAAAGTAGGCTAGGTATTCATTGAAAAGAAGTGGGGTGGTTTAGGACCTAAAGTATAGGTCCACCTAAAATGTAGTAAAGGTGGCGCTGTGGGTAAAACCTCAGCGCCTAGGGCTTGCCGATCGCATGGTCGGCGGTTCGAATCCCCGCGGTGGGGTGAGCTCCCGTCGTTCGGTCCCAGCTCCTGCCCACCTAGCAGTTCGAAAGCACCCCTAAGTGCAAGTAGATAAATAGGTACTGCTTTATAACGGGAAGGTAAACGGCGTTTCCATGTGCTGCTCTGGTGCCGGCTCGCCAGAGCAGCTTCGTCACGCTGGCCACGTGACCTGGAAGTGTCTCCGGACAGCGCTGGCCCCCGGCCTATAGAGTGAGATGAGCGCACAACTCTAGAGTCTGTCAAGACTGGCCCGTATGGGCAGGGGTACCTTTACCTTTAAAATGTAGTAGTGTGGTATCTCACTTCATTCCATCACACTTGAACAATGATCCATAGTGAAATTTGAGAAATTGTAAGAGAAGTTAATTTTTTTACTCAGACTAATCTAGTATCCTTGGCCAAATGGTTCAATGTCACATGCTATATAAATTTTCTGCAGGACCTGCCTGGCAAAGAGAAATCAATAAGTAGGTAATGGATTTGATTAAAATGTTTATTTTTCCCTCCTCCTGCTCAAACTAAAATGCTAAATGTCCCTTCCCATCCACATTTATCTGTGGGTTGGCTTCTGCTTTTAATGAGTTTATTGAAATATTGTTTTTGGTAGTACCTAAGCAGTTTCAAAAATCCTGGCTGGTGTTTGTGGGAAGTTAGTTATTGTTTTGCTATTACGATTGTCAGGTCGACTCTGAGAGAACCTTTGTACTTTCAAAAGTTGCAAAGGAAGGAGAATTTTATCAAATGTGTTATTCCTTATGTCAACATTTTTTCTATGCTACTCTTAAAGCTGCAGAAGTAATGTCAGGATCTGGATTCGCAACCCTATGTGCTGTGCTTTCAACAAAAATGGTCATACTTCCCTACTAATGCGAATGTTCTTTTTTCCTTCCCTGCTGTGTGATACCAGAGTGCTTTTGTGCTTAAGGTAGCATGCTAAAGCTAGGGCATGCTGATTTTGGAACACAGCTATGGTGTACCCCTGAGCAAGTTAGCCAGCGGCACTGTAAATAGAGATCTAGTAGCATAATTTAATACATATCAGGTAAACCTTTCTTTCCAAAGACTTGGTGAGCTCTCAAGAAGAAAGCATTAATTGGTTTTTATCTTAATGAAAAATTACACTGGGTAACAATTTTTTACTTTCTGAATGTTGTCTAGATTTCTACAACTGATTTAGGGTATTTTTGCACTGCTGAATCAGGAAATGGCATCCGTTTCTCTCCACCAGGTCAGGTTTACTGTAAACTGAATGGTGGGCATTGATAAAGATAAGTACATGTAAATTGCATGTTGCCTCACCATTTTTCAAACTTCAGGGCTTGAACTTCCGTTTCTTGGAACTCCTGGAATGCTCAGCGGCAGGGAGGTCTCTCTTCAGAGTCCAACAGTAGTCAGCCATCATGACTGCGTCCCAGCAACCCTGATACCTGGTCTTCATCTCTTTCATGTCCTGATGGAACCTCTCCCCCTGCTCGTCACTCATTGAACCCAGGTTCTCAGGAAACCGGTCCAGATGTGAAAATAGGTAGTGCATCTTGACGCTCATGTTGCAGCCCAGGTTTCTGAAAGCAGTTAGCATGTTGTTGACAAGTTCTGCGTAGTTTATGGCCTTATTGTTGCCAAGAAAGTTCTTCACTACCAGAACAAATGCCTTTCACACTTCCAGTTCCACTTCATTCATTGAGTTTCCGAACTTTGGATCTCTGATGAGCTGACGGATCTGAGGACCGTCAAAGATGCCAGCTTTCAACTTCTCCATGGTCAATCCTGGAAAAGCCTGGCACAAGTAAGTGAAGCAGTCACCATCCTTGTCCAGAGCCTTGGTGAACTGCTTGATTAAGCCGAGCTTGATGTGCAGCGGTGGGAAGAGTATTCTGTCTCTGTCCACCAGAGGGTCGTTGATGACGTTCCTTTTTTTGCAAGGTACCAATTCCTCCCGCACAGGCCCGTCCTCCTTCGTGTAATGCTGAGCACGGTCCCTACTATCCCACATGCACAGAAAACATGGGTATTTGGTGAAGCCAGACTGTTGTCCCAACAAAAAGTTCACCATCTTCAGGTCAACACAAATAAACCACTTATGCTGATCATAACCAATTTTCTCCAGCACATACTTCACCGCTTCATTCAACTCCTTTTGGGAAAATGGATGTGGAGCATCATCTTCAAGAACCACTTCTTCTTCATGTCCTTCAACACTGGAGGCATCTTCGTCACTAATGTCAGGAAGTTCTCCAAAGATAGGCACTGGAATTTCATCACAATGAGCTACAGGACGACGTGCTGATTGAAGATCAGGATCAACTTAGTTTTGATCCCCCAACTTTATGCTTTGCCGCACCAATTTATGGAAGATTTCGAGGTTTTATGACTTCAAACTGATCCCTTTTCGACATAATCACCCAGAACTATCGGACCTGAATACTTCTTGTCATTAAAATAATCATTTCCAATCAAAACAATTATTTGACATGGCATTTTACCCCCACCAACTTCTTCTAAAATGCTCCACACAAGCGTACATGTGAACAAAAACGTTAAAAAAGACATGTGGCCATAGCTCAAAAACTTGACCTGATTGAGCAAAACCAATGTGATTTTTGGATTCAGCGCATCAGATTCATCCTAAATCAACTGAAAAAATGCAGACAACAAATTTGTTGTTGACCAGTGTAATCTTTGTATTTTTGATTTGGAAATAATATTGAATGGTTGAACTATTTTTCCTATTGCTAACTACAGTTCACATACCTCACTTACTTTTGGGTTGATTTTTCTGTGTTGAAAATAGGATCATGCATTTCGTGGGTGCACATTGCCAGCTTACCATGAAATCCTGAAGGCTGTGCGAGTAAGCCAACCATTCTTGCACAAAGTACTCCATCGATGGTCACTTTTCATTACAAGCCCCACTTTTTCCTCAGTATCTGCCATTATGGCAGCTCTTCCCACTTTCAGCTTAGCTCCTGAAGTGTAGCAGCAGATACAGCCTTGCAGTAGGCATGCACATTATTCATGGATATATTTATCCTTCACTCAAAAAGTGACCTGACATCCCCCAAAACAGATGTGCAGTGTACACAAAGCTAAGTGTTTCCATATTCACATTTTGCATGTCCTGCTTGCATTATGACATGTGATTTTATCTATAATGGCTCCTGAGAGTTGGCTTGATGGTGCATGATTTATTTATTGTCTGTTAAGTCTATATCCCACTTTTCCATGTACAGTGCACAAACTGGCTTGCAGTAAAGGTAAAGGGACCCCTGACCATTAGGTCCAGTCGTGGCCGACTCTGGGGTTGCAGCGCTCATCTCGCTTTAGTGGCCGAGGAAGCTGGCGTACAGCTTCCGGATCATGTGGCCAGCATGACTAAGCCGCTTCTGGCGAGCCAGAGCAACGCACGGAAGCGCCGTTTACCTCCCCCCCCCCCCGAGCGGTACCTATTTATCTACTTGAACTTTGAGGTGCTTTTGAACTGCTAGGTTGGCAGGAGCAGGGACCGAGCAATGGGAGCTCACCCTGTTGTGGGGATTTGAACCACTGACCTTCTGATCGGCAAGCCCTAGGCTCTGTGGTTTAACCCACAGCGCCACCCCTGCTGTAAACACACATAAAAATAACAACTTATTAACATAACCATAAAAAGGGGTTGCATCCAACTAAGTCATGCTCAGAGGAGACCCATTGAAATTAATAACACAACTAAAGTCCATTGATCCAGAGAAAACAGTAATGTAGAAAAAAAAGGTAACAGTTAAATAAGAGCAGATAAAACATCAACAATGACAGCTGGTTGAAAACATACTGAGCTGTGATTTAAAAAACACCATTGGAATATAGTTCCATAGCTTGGGTACAGCCAACGTCCTGTCTCAAGTTCCTGCCAAATGTACATCAGATGTCAGCAGGATATAGAGGAGGGCATTCTTGGAAAATCTCAAAACCTAGGCAGGTTCATACGGGAGAAATGTAACTTGATCCCAAACTGTTTAGAGCTTTTATAGGTTATGACCAGTAGGGATGGGGCAGACGCTAGTTGGATCTGCATTTTTTCACACACATACTTATATAGAAAATTATTTGCGTGTCGAGGTCCCCAAGCCACCCCTCAAATAACTCACAACACACACGTAATTTTTGTTGAAGGTTTTTGGCATAATTTTGGCCACAACTTTATTAACATACATGATTGTTAATGGTTGCTTAGGCATTGGCAAAGACTATCTGCCCCCCCCCCCCCGGCCTGGGGACAGAACTGACTTCCGGATGCCACCGAAAGCCAATAAGAGAAAACAATGTTGGGGAGAAATGGAGCTGAGGCACAGACCCTCACCTCTCCCCGCATGCTCCCCAGGGCTTGCCGGCCCTAGCCCCTTTCCAGGGATTCGGACGAAAGCATGGCAAGCCCCTGGATTCCTTTAGCGGAATTCCCTTTCCGCAGCAGCACTGGAGGGGCAGGCCCAGCCAATCCTTGTCCCTCCTCCAACCAATTTATAACCAATGCCTAACCGCAACTTGTGATGATTTGCTACGCAGTAGGCAAAAACCAAATGGCACCAGCCAATCAGCTAGATGGACAAAATTCCTACCAGGCCCCTGCCCCAAAAGCAGATGCCCCCCATGACAGGTATAGCAAGGTCAGCACAAAAAACCCCTAATTACAGGACGGGTGGGCGGGCGTTCTGATGCACACAGCAAAAGAGAAAGTTCCAAAGCTGCGTGCACAGAATATAAAGCCTTAAATCCCTCCCACCAAATTGCAACACACAAATTGCCCCAGCAAAACGACCATCCAATCATTGCCACAGGCCAACCTTCCAATCCTGCCTGGCAACAGAGGGGCGGCCTGGCAGACCCCACCGCAACCCGCGTTCTCTATTAAGGAGAACACTCTATGCTATCATCCCCATAGCTCTTTTTATCTTGAATGGAATTTTAAACCTTCTCCCCCTCTCAATAAAGACTAACATGGGAGTAACAAACAGATTTCGCTTCAGATATTGCTTCTAGCAGCAGCCAGTAAAGCCATCATAATCGGCAGTTGATTAGTTGAGAATGGCAGCTTTTTTCTTTTTCTTTTTTACAAGCCTAGGATGAGTGGATTGCTTAGACCAGGAGTAGAAATTTAATTTTTTTTGGATAATATGTTAATGTGTTAGAGAGCTTTCAGTTAGAGTCTTCAAAACACGAAGCAGATCAAGTCCTATATGGGGCTTAATGCCATGTTGATGTCCTGCATTCTATAAAACTTCCAGGTTGAGTACAGGGGCACCGACTTGGGCCCCACACTGTGAGTGCCCAGTGTCAGCACACGCCGCACCATAATGATGTCATGACACGATGTGACATCACCATGTCATGGTGCACCAGCATTATGGCGCAACACACTTCCTCTGGCATCACGCTGGCAACAGGACTGCGGTCTGTGCCTCTCCCGCGGGGCCCCATGGCAGAGGCGCAGGCCCCCAGTCAGTCGCTGTGGCACCAAAGTTAAGGTGGTGCTCGGCCGCGGTGGATGGAAGTGGCAGCCGTGGCGCACCAGGGCAGCACTCGCAGGGCGCACTGAGGCCATGGTGGGGGGTGGATGCTGGGCAGCAAAATTTTTGTAGGTGACTGGGCTCCTGGGGCCCCCTGGAGATGGCATCAGCGGTTGAGTATATTTTTAGCTACAGATGGGATAAGGAGAATAGCAAATGGAAGCGCTTTTCAGTTCTGCCATGGTTATTTCCTTGTATCAGAATCACCAGTCTTGGTGTTAGAATCCCCCCGCCCCCCAAAAAAACCCCCAATTCTTTATCATAAAAGCATTGAATTGTGGAGTTGGAAGGGACCATGAGGGTCATCTAGTCCAACCCCCTGCAGTGCTTTTGCCCAACGTGGGGCTCAAACCCACAGACCTGAGATTCAGATTGTCATGCTCTGCCAACTGAGCTATCCCAGCTCTAATGCAAACCTTTTCCAAGAAGCATTTTGTAAACAGAAAATATATTTGTTTTGTTTATAGCAGTTTTCACATGCCCACTATAATTCACTAAAATGTATTTGTGTGTGTCTCAGGGGTGGTGATTCATGGTGCATGAATATATTTGCAAACGGATACTCTTGGTTCAACTAGCCTTCTTTTCATGATTGCAATTCTGCAATCTTTGCATCTCTTGCAGATAAAGTATCTCAGTCAGAATCTGGAAATTCTATTCTGTTTGGTGTAAATTTTTTACTGACTTAATTAAGAAAAGCATGGACTAAAAATCAGGGGGGAGTGCTGAATTGGTGAGGGCAATGGCTCATTTCTGACTCAGGTGGGTCCTGCCACCTGAGGCAGTCACCTCACTTTGCTTCATGGGTGGGCTGGCCCTGGATTTAAGAACATACAGAAAGTGTCTACTTGAGATGATTTAACATAGACTGGAACTCATTGACACCTTTTAACCCCCTTCATGATCATTTGCAGAGATAGTCTTTAGCAGCTCTATTCTTGTTTGTTATGGAGTAGGGATTCTATTGTGTGGACAGGCGGAGACCCCCCAAACCCCAAGCCACCCTCAGGAGGAATAATGATGCTTGACAACGTGTTCTGGGATTAAAATTGACCACAACTTTATTGGGCATTTATCCCTCCCAGTCCCCAGCTGGGGATCTGGGGAACACCAGGGTTATCCAAAGTGTGTGAGGACTGGGCTGACTCTGGAGAACGTCTGTTCAAACAGAGAGCCCACCCCCCAATTCGCCGCATTGAAGGGGAGAGCACTGACAACCCATTGGCGTATGGCCAGTGCCTCCCCTCAAAATAACCCCTTTAACGGGGAACCCTGGGATCACCGCCTCGGGGGGGGGGCGTGGGTCACCGGTTCACGCCCCCACCCCATTGAGGGAAGATAGACTAATGGATTCTGCCCAAGGCCTACAAACTGCCAAAGTTGTGGTGTTTTGCTATGGGGAAGGCGAAACCTGCCAATGCAGGGAAATTCCTTCCCGGTCCCTCAACGGTGACCATCAAAGACCGCAGCAGCGCCTGCATAGCTGTAAAGAAGAAGTTTAAACTGCAGAAGAAGTCATAAACTGAGGCATGGCCGGGGGGGGGGGGTTCAGGAGCCGACTGAGGACTAACAGGTAAGTTACACCCTCTATTGTGAGTGTGGGCAGTCCTAACTCTACCTGGCCAATTCCCTTGGCAACGCCCCCCCAACCAGGATTGGCTGATTGACAAGGCTAGGCAGGAACCTCCAGGTATCCAGCTTGAGGGGGTGGGGGGCGGCAAAGCCAGCGTCCTTGCTGGGGGTCTAGTAGTCCCCAGGGGGCTGCGCACAACCACGCAAAAGCCGCCCCCCAGTTAATGTGGGGAGCGGTCATTCTGTGATCATTTTTTGTTCATTTGCTACATGAAATAATTCCTATGGTAGTAGTATATCATAAGAATCTTCTTTGTGGTCTGTGTGCTCTAATCTCACTCACACAAATATATACATATAAATGTATAAAAGAACACACACAGGCACACCTCTGAAAATGCCAGTGACATGTGATTCTTTGGACTGAAATCAGATACCAAACTGCGATGAAAGCTTTGCAAGCAGTCAGTGTTTGTGTCTCATGCACATTAGGTTCCCCTGCCGCAGTGCGCAACTCAAGGGCGCAGTGGCAGAGGGCAGGCAGGAGGTGCGTGGGCATCAGATGGAGCAATGGGATGACCATATGGGATGAGTTTGGGTAGTGAAAGGTCTGGAGGCAGCTGAAGAAGTCTCTCTGTTTCTGGAAACTTGAACTACAGCAGATAAAAGCTGTTTCAGTCAGTTTCTCAGGGGAGGGAGGAGGAAGCTAGATTTCTTTAAGGAACACATCTTTACAAAACAGCAGAGAACTTACTTCCTTACTTTGGCATCAACCTGCAGACATTTCTTCCCTCCTAGCAATGTCTTGCTATGGCAGCTGAGGTCAGCACTTCTACTCTCACTTCATAGACTTTTAATGCTAACCCTTGTAAAGTGGTTCAGAAGTTCTAATCTCTGGGAAAAACTCCCTCCACCTTCAGAGCCAGAGATTATCAACCTTTAATGCAGAGCTATTTGCTCCCCTCACATATGTTTGATTTAGGAAAATATCAGAAGGAATATTTCAGGCACTTGTCAACATTTGAAAAAGTAATTTGACATGTTTTGCATTTTATGCATTTGTCCAAACACCTTCTTGTTACCTCCTGCATTTTAAATATAAGTGAATAAACCCAGTCAGACTGAAGTATTCTTTGACTGGTATGGCCTTTTCTCTCATGGGGCTTCTTATGCCTCATATGTCTCTTATGCAAGTAGCTTGCAGGGAGAACATGGAGCGCTGACAGTGTGCCAGTGCTGTGATAGTGTGGGGAGAGGTTAGCATTCTCTGGCAGTGAGCTAGTAACTGTTGTCCCCTAAATAATTTGTCATTTTAGAAAGCAGCAGTGCTATGATATGATTGCCTTAAATAACTGAGGTCCTTTCACGTTTCCCCCACACTTTCGGGGAGTAACAGCCCTGTTTCTCTCTCTCCAGTTGCAGGCCGATCAACAAAAGATTGCAATCCTAGCCATAGGACTTACTTGTCAGTAGACTTGGGGTGGTATTTCAACATGTTGATTGACTAAGTTAGGATGCTTAATTTCAATAAGTATATTCTGAGTAAAAATGTAGTTGGTTAGGATTGTAATTAATTGATCACAGTCAATTTCGGGAGTCTATGGTTAGGACTGTGCTGTTAATGAGAAGTCCACTGCCCATTTATCTGGGAAAGCTATGCTGAACACTGGGACTTCATTCCAAATATATATGCCTAAGACTGCATTGCACTGCATGTGTGGCCTTGAGACACTGCACTCTATGAATGACATTTTCTCTCCAGAGAGTTATATAATTAATTGATGTAATTTATTACATAATCCTAATAAAACCTCCCTGTCAGAGGAACAGAGAACTGTCTGCAAAGTTGTAATTTTTTTGAATAACATTAAGTTACTTTGGATAATGTTTCATGTCTTATAACAGCAACGCTACTTTATATATCCAAGTTTTTCAGTGCATTGAAAATAAATGAAGGTATTTCAAAGTGTGTTTTAACCGGTCTTTGCCTATGGCTTTATTAATAATACACTGAAATATTGTTGTCATTTATGATGGATCAAAAGGCACCTTTATGTTGTGCACCACACTGTGATCTTTGGATGAAGGATGGTATACATATTTAATAAATAAAAATAAATACGATTATTATTTAAGTTTAAATAAATCTTCCCTTCACCTTTTCTAAAATGTAACCATGGGGAGGCATCATATGAGACTGGACGAGGCTCGCAGAAGGAATGGGGGACACTTCTAATTAATTTGTCAGCTTTTGTTAAATCAATAATACTTTTATCAAATACTGCACATAAATACTTCTATTAAACACACAATATACTAATACATGAAGATGTATTACATGGAGAATATCTAACTAGAGATGGGACTGACTTTCTTTCTTTCATAAGGAATTATTATTTTGACTGTGCCTTGATAGACTTTTTAATATTGTATTTTTCATATTTTTAATTATTTTTTCAAATTTATAACAAATAAGACACCCAAATAAAGAAAAAAGAGAACAACATTGTAATACTAAAACAGAAAGCAACAAAAACAAACATATATATACCTAATACTTTAAAGCCTAATTTATATTGCATTGTTAACTGACTTCCTCGAATCCCTCCTTACTGAATTTCATTGAAACACTTTTTAACAGCTTTCCAATATCCTCTTTCTAATCAAATTAACACCTTTAGTTTACAATGTTATTCTCTTTTCAAATTATCCAAATCCATAGTATTTTACAATTAATTCTTAATCTAGTCCTAGGCCCATTTGGTACTTTCAAATAATTTCTACTTATCTTATGTTACAATATTTAGCTAAATAGTCTTTAAATTTCTTCCACTCTTCTTGGTATTCCTCTTCTTTCTGATCACGGATTCTTCCAGTCAGGTCGGCCAGCTCCAAAAAGTCTAACATTCTTCTACTGTTGGTATTTTTGTGATTTCCAATTTTTGGCCAATAAAAGTCTTGCCGCTGTAGTGGCGTACAAAAACAATCTAACATCTTTTTTGGGGCAATTCCAGTCCTATTATTCCAAGCAGAAAGGCTTCTGGTTTCTTAATAAATGTATTTTTAAACATTTTTTTTCAACTCATTATAAATCTCTTCCCAGAAGTCTTTCACCTTGGGACACGTCCACCACATATGATAAAAGGTGCCTTCTTTTTCTCTACACTTCCAACATAAATTATCATTCATATGGTATATCTTTGCTAATTTTACTGGGGTTAAATACCATCTATACATCATTTTCATGATGTTTTCTTTTAATACAGTACTTGCAGTAAATTTAACCCCTTTCTTCCACAACCTTTCCCAATCCTCCAACATTATATTGTGTCCAACTTTTAAATATTGTAATGGAAATTCCTTTAAAATATTGCTGACATTTAATTTGTACAAATTTGAATATGTGGCTGACTCCAACAATTAAACACAACAACAGAGGAATGTAACTTCTGCCGCCACAGCCTCCCCAACCCAATTCCAAAATTTGGACCCTGGCATGCTCTAGCAGCGAGGAATCTCCACTCACCTGGGGTCTGGAGGAGCAGCATTTGCTGCATGGTGCAGCCGTGGGTGGTCCTGGGAGGCCACCATCTTCCTGTGTGGCTGCGGAAGCGGATGACCACTTGGTACCACCCCACCTCTGGGTGCTGTGCGGGAGTCCCTTCTGAAGTCCATTTGTGCCTGAAAAACAGATTTCAGCTGATGGGCACAGAGGAGAGCCTTTAAAGAAGCTGGCTTTCAACACTGATCGGTTTATGAGTTCTGAGAGGGAACTCCTATGAAGTCTGTTTATGCCTGCAAATGGGGAGCCCCTCCCAAGCTCCCTATCTAC